TTCTTCTTCATCAGTAATAGGGTCAGTGATGGAGACTGTTGCTTCCATTATAGAAAAACTTCAAGATGTTTACCGTGCCTGCTTCCAAGTAATTAGTGATCAAATCAGAACAGCAATGTGGGGAATTAGCTACGAGTGCATTTCTATCGTCTACTGACACTGAGATTACTACAGAGGTCTTATTCTACGCCGTCTCGCTAAAGGTTAACAAGGGCGATTGAAGTTTGATTGACTAAATTCGGAGTTGTTTCGTTGACAAGTGACTCAGAATCTCATACCAAACGCATTGGCGCAAAGTTAGGAAACAAAGGCTGTCACACAATAAAGAATATGAAATCGCGACTAACCACGTTGGTCTGCTTATCTTATCATCCTTTCGGATATCTGCCAAATCCTAGCAAAACAGTTGTTCAGCTACGATAAACAAGCCAGCAAAATGTCCTTAGAAATTCCACTAAGTAGGGCGTTTTAAATCTTAGCAAATGCACTGTACTTAAACTTAAGTTGACTGTTTACCATAGTCAACAGCTAGCTCCCTCGGTTTTCCTTTAGAACAATGTTTTTGGCATTCTAATTTAGAAAATACATATGCACAGTGTCTTTGCCCAAAGCGGTTCATTGGAGAGTTGGACTATTCTCGTCTACATCTGAAGAAATGAAGCTCTTAACACATTTAGCTTTCGATAGAGACCACCTTGACAGAAAACAAAATCTTCTACGAAGTGAAAGGTTAGCTCAGCTGGATAGTACATCGCCGCTTATGTCAGCCAGCGACTGTTCTATCGGATAATGCTACCGATAAGCTTCAGAAAATCTCAGTTAGCACAAGTTTTCGACAGTCACATGATCCCCACCTCTCCGATTTTCAGTAGGGGGGATATGATTTATGTGGACTAATGATAGGGAAACTTACGTCTTCGTGAACTCCTTCATACATCGACTAGTGTAAGTCAAAATCACAAACGGTTTTTTTTTCTGCTGATTTACCAATAATAATCGTGGAAACACGAAATGAAAAAAGACATTCTAAACAATAAACCGGAGTAGAGTTAAACCAGAATTTGTTTATCAGGTACATCCAAACATAGTAACCCTATAAATTCTCCCTGAAGCGCCAGTTAAAATGTCAGTCGTATTTCACTCCGTTTCAGGGGAGATTCATTCTTTCTGCACACCGGTCGAAAGTATTGAATTAGATGGGATTGTGCGCTCATGACCTGTCAGGGACGCGGTTATCGTGCTTGGATACGTAACCTGTATTCTAAATTGTTTACGAAGTATGGTGCAGTGATTATGAGTTTTCAGTTACGTGTGATGAGGTGAGGTATACGTAGTAATTCAAACAACGACGGTGAAAAATACAGCCAACCTGATATAAAATCAGAAGTAAGTTACAGTAGACGCCTAACGATACACCGGGGGACTTTGCCCTCATCCATTACAGACTGTGTTTGGCAAACCGTTCCGACTTTGCTTAGTCTTGATTGGAATTAAAGTTGCGAGTTAATGAACAAGCTCAAAATGGAGAGTTGGGTATAAAAAGGATGAAATAATGAATGGTGTCGATGTAGGTGGAGTGACATTTACTTTTCAATTAGCGAACGATGGGTGCTGCTGTACCATTGGCTGAGATAAAACCGGGACATCCGCGCGCTGGGAGATGAGTCAGAAGCACACGTTGAAAAAATTTAACACACTATTCTGCATATTGAACTATTATGCTTAAATGAACCTATGACTCTTCCAACCTTGTGACGAAACAAAACGCAAATCGAATACACACTCTAGCTTCGGCATCATTACGGAGATTTAAAGTGAATGGACAGCCATGCAGTCGATTATGATCACGAGTGGAATTGTCATGTTAGAGAACACATCTGTCATTCACTGTGGACGACATGTGATGGTTCATACAGGTTTTGCGTCCCCCAACTTTTCGCAATCTCTACCGTCGTTATAATGAGAAACACCCGCGCCTCCATAAAGAAACTGCTATTGAACATCATCTGCAGTGGTCTGCAACCAGACAGTGCTATCCTGACGAGAAGGATATTTTGTGGACGGTGGATTTAAATAACAGTCACCGCAATCTTGTCTACATTTACAGAGGAACGGATGCAGAGGTAGAAAGGAGAATCAGGATGAAATAGCCATTGGTACTAGGTCGCATACTTTCTAGGCAGAATGACCATTTCCCTGGATTATTGGCGTCCATCAGCTCCATAAAAGAATATTGTCCCCGGAGAAACATCAGAGCACACATGCACATTTGAATCGGAGATTACAAACTGTCGCAGAAAGGAAATACCCTATGCCTTGTATGTCATGTTGGATTTTCCGAATAACCTAACTACGGCTCACATCAAACATTGTTTCTCGGCGCCAGAATATTTGTTTGGACTTGATGAACTGGTGAGATGTTCGCTGGTCCACAACATGCATGAACATGCACGAAACTTCTATATGAAAATCCCAAAAGTTCAGTGTCAGTTCAGTACGTTTTGATGACAAGTAAACGCGGATAAATCCCTGCGTAAACACTTCCCTGCAAACTTCACAGTAGGGAGTTCCTCTCTTTTCACTGATGAGCTAGTGTCCCATAGTTTTACTTGTAATTACGCCTAGTAATCGTAGGAAGATACGTATTAAGTTCATGGACGGTAATATGGAAGTTCATCGCCTAATTTATGGTCTCCAAAAAAAACGGCAACATTCGTAAGTGAGTAACTTTGCATTTTCTCCGATGAGATTTTGTTTTAAAATCTTTGAGTGATACATGCATGTGGAGGGAGCATCGCTGTTGGATTTGCGAACGAAATATAGCGCTAGTCATTTGGTGACGGAAGATTCGTTGTTCTGTTTTTCTGGTGAATCAGTGAACTGATGAACCTACGTTGGGTCGCGCTTAACGTAAGCGAGCGAGCAAGTAAATCATGCCTAGTCGTTGTTCGCAACCGACCTAGATTGAACCTTCGAAGTGAAAACTTGCCTGTGCATCTCCAGCCCAAAGCTCGTTGAATGGCGTCGGTATTCCTGACTTCAGTATCTCGCGTGAAATGTTTATGCTGTATACTGTTGCGGGGAAATCTCCGGCCATCAAGGAATCAACTTATGTCTCAGTGTATTCAGCGGCTTTGCCTACGGCCTAAGCAGTTAGTTGGATATGTCACAGCTGTGGCAATTAACACAAGACACTTTTGTCTTCTGATGCCAGGATACCTATCACTGGGATGAGATTTACGCCCCAAGTTCATAAAGTCAAGCATTTTTGTTTCAGTACAACATGCCCCTTTTTGGAAGTTCTTGTTAGCATTTGTGACGCGGAAAGTGTCTATGTATGACACTTGTGCTTCATAACATGTGCTTTTTGTGCACAGGACACTCCCAGAAATTTTAAACCGAAGATGGAAATTATTTAGGGAATCCTTCCGGGGCCTCCAATAAAGCAACTTCTGACCAGTAACCCCCCCGGCTGAAGTGTAGATTTCACCATCCGTTGCGTACCAATGACTGTTTTTACAGTTCGTTCATCTGCCTAGCGGTACACAACAAAAAAATAATCCCAATTTACCTTTAGCTTGCGTCAGCTTGGGATTTTTAAGTAGTCAAACTTATTATCGGTGCTGATCTTGGACTTCTTTAAGTGTTGTGCAGTTAAGCACACAACTATCATCTCTTAAGTAAAAAACACTGTCCTTTACCCCGGGAAGAGAACCGAATTAACTTGCCTGCCTTTGGCCTGGGTAAAACCGATTCTCCCATAAACTCACCGTGAACTCTAAAATGCCCTTTATTCTGAAGCATTTCAAAAGAAGAGGAGACATTCGATCACGAGGGAATCTGTGTGGTATTTCGAAATGCCTAGTGTGCTTTCCGAAACTAGACAAATGCATTTCCATGACGCAGTCAACTATATATGCCGTGGAAGTGTGACTAGGCTGGCACTCCTTGTAGATTTTCCACTTCCTTTAAGGTTAAAAAGAATAGGCTGCATTCGGAATTTCGAAGATCTTTCACTATTCCCCAGACGAACGGTTTATTTGGCTCTTACATATTCCGAGTTTCCTGTGAGGTAGAATTCCGCCTCATTATACACCACCTGTTTCCAGGATCCAATGTAAAAACAGCATGAGGCACGAAAAATTTTATTCAACAGTTTTGAGCTACTAGTTTTACGATCCTGTGCATGTCAATCAATTTACGTTGCTTTTTTGTGGACTGTGTGGGCTCAGTGCCCAACTCATGTGAACAGACCAAATGGTGTTGGGCCGTTAAAGTTTTCTCCCTGCTTGATACCACCGATCATTGTACTGGATCTACCAGTTCACCGGTTGCGTATATTCCCGAATGATATTTGAGGGTATGCAATCGGATTCTAGGAAACGCAGTCAGTCGAGACATTTTCTATTCAATGGGCTCACTTACATGGCGTCAGAACCTTTGGGATTCCGAGGTAACACTCTATGGAACTATTTGCCGTGATAACTTTATCGGCAACGGAATACATCAGAAGCAACCGTAGCTATTTGGACAGCTATTTGAAGTTACTTCTCCTTTCGGGCTACTGAAGGTTACCACGTAACTCATGAAGAAAAGAAAAATAGCTCAAGTTTGCACCCAGGAATCTTAGATAATATCATCCAACAAACTTGTTTGACTGACATACTCGATACACTTCGTCACCAACTGACTCGTTGGTCCATTTATCATACTGTCTAAGTTTTAGATATGTACCCGTGAATTTTTCGAGCGTTGCACGTGATTTCCTACTTGTATTAGATAACTTTTTGTCTTACTGTATCAGAAAACCAATGAAATGACAGGGTTTTTTCGATATTGGTCAATATTTTAGAAACAAAAAAGACATCACACGCAAGCTGCCACCCATGAATGATATCGGGAGCATACTCATAATATTATGGTCCATATATGGCTACCGATTGCTTCGTGCCACCCTTGCGGTCGAAATCACTTATATTAAACCGATTTTTCACTTTAAGGTGTCTACGCCGGCGCATGGTCAAAGGGTATGCGACAAGGCTTGGGCGTCCGGCGATCTGCACCCTATGCCCTCGCCTCAGAATTCAATCGCGCTGTTCGCGCAGCCCAGTCTCAAAACAGCATTCCTTCAGGAACGGATTCTGAGCGTGGTTGGCGTGGCACCGGCAGCATTGGTGGAGGCAGCGGAGGAGATGTGCGAACGGGTGAACGAGGCCGTCCGGATGAACGCCGCAGCGGATTTGTACTACGGTCTACTTCTTGCCCGTCACCGGCGTCCCAACCAGGGTTCCGAAGTGCTAGCCGCGGGCCCGAAAAGAGGTCCATTTTCAAAAGAGGTCTTTTTCGCAAACTGAGGAAGCAAAAGTCAACAGGAGATCTGTCCACTATTGGTGGTCAAACGATTGGAGGATTTTCCTCTACCTCAGGATGCGGCGGCGGTGGACTCTTTCAAAACCGACGCCGAGGTGGCGGTTCCTTGAGATCAACCCTGAGTGGATCAAGTCAACTGACCACAAATTCGTTCTCACGTAATGAAATGAAAGGCCTAGGCAATGGTGGTCAGGGTTTGCATGAATTTATGGATGAACCAGTTGGTCCCAACGTCACAGAAACATACAGTGGTCAGTGGAATGCCGATCGCCGTTCAGGTTATGGAGTTGCCGAGCGGTCTGATGGTTTAAAGTATGCCGGTGAATGGTTCAACAACAAAAAGGATGGGTATGGTGTTACCTATTTTCAAGATGGAACAAAAGAAGAGGGAAAATACAAGGAAAATCTTTTAGTTCAAGCACTAAATCGGCGAAGTAAATTGTTTCTACTGCGGCATACCAAATTACGTGACGCAATCGAAGAGGCGGTGAAAAACGCCCAAGATGCGTCCAAAAAAGCTCAGGAAACGGCCTCTGAAGCAGCGTACCAAAGGTTTGTTGTAAAGTAATGCATGTGATTGTTCACGTGTATGAGCGGTAAACTATTATACCTCTGAATGTCGTCGCCACCACTGGTATTTTATGTGAGCATATGAAGAATTCATCAACACGAATATAACACTTTGCTTTCGCAAATCCAACTACAGCACTGCCGACGCAGTTCATGTGCGTTTCTAATCATCAGAACGTTCTAATCAGTCAGGGCGTTTTTCTTCAGGAAAACTAATATTTTGTGAAGGGAGAAGTGTGACTTCTCCCGCGCGAAAATCCAATGAAATAGTGTCGTTCGACATGTGAAATTATAGAGAGGGTGATCTGAAGTTAAGACAGTAAACCATTCTGTGGCTCAATTTTAATAGTATCAGCTACAAGATTATAAAAATAGGTTGTTTACGTATTCACAACGAGGAAACCCACTGTAAACGTAAAACCCATGTGCCACGTTGTTTTGCAGTTGAGGGGCTCGGGTCACGAAACTGCATTGGCTCCAAGGGTACTGAATAACTTGAGGGGGAGGAACAACAGCCGAGAACATTCGTTACTCAAAGTTTAAAAATCAAAGTTCATGTTAAAGACAAGTCTCTTGAGACATTAAATGTCTTTCCAACGCTCCAACAGAGGTTGACGATTGACCCAAAAAATAAGGTAGCAATCTTCCTACAGTAAATTATGAAGGAAAGCGATGAAACAGCTAGCCAGTGAGGACGGATTAAAACGAGAACCAATCTAGGGGCATCATTGCGTGTGAACAGATCAGGCAAAATACCTGGTGAGTTTTGTCTGGATTCTATTTTTCGTTCATTCACTATCTGCTTTCAAGATGTCTTCAGCCAAATTAAATATAAATCAGGGGTTATTCATAGGATGTCAATTATCACAAGTATGTAAGCGTTTGCTAGTTACTCCTGAATATGAGGCCACTGATGGTTTCAAATCAGTATAGTGAGCACACTTCATAGGCGAATACTCATGGATTTATCGAATTTATTTAATGGAGTATACACGCCATACAGCTGTGAAGTCCAAAAAACACTGCTCACAAAAATACAGCTAGCTTGTCTGGAAGCGTCCGGACACGAAAGGTACAGGTGCACAGAACATGTCCCTAGGATCACCATCGCCAACACACTTTCCACATGGCAGGTGCATGGGAGGAAATTACTAAACACGGCTTAGCAGTATGCAACCAGGCGGGTGGGTGTAAACATGTTCACGGCAGGAAAGCCGCTATTGGTTGGGCAGAACGAACAAGCGAATAACCATACTTGGTCATTTAGCCATCCTATATATTTACGCAGAAGCTCCGTATGTTTGTCCTAACAATGCAGCCGCACTTATCGCGTAGCTTGGCAGGCTCAATTCAGGCGTAACCAATATGTGGCCACCCACGTACAACACACCCCAATAGGAATCAGTTCTGACCGAGATGTAAGAAACCGCATTCGAAATCGAGGTATTATGTGCTTGAGTTTCGCAACTTACCTTGATTCCTCGACTCCGTGATAATCGGAATATTTTGTCTCACGTGAATATGCCTAGCCTTTATCACCAGACCTCGAATAGTTTCTCCTGAATGCTCCAGAAATATAGATTGATAAGGAGAAGGCTTGATATATAGTTAAATGTTTTCTAAACATAACTTATGTTTCTGGCCCGAACCAGTTCACTCTTGGAAGTACAGGTGAAGCTAATGAGTACCTGCACAGATAAACCAGACTTCCGTTTATTCCCACCATTTATCTTCACGTAGTTTGCCGCAGTTTCCCTGACGGTATAATTGTCCGACAGTTTCATTGATTTGTTCAGAGAACGGCTATTTACGCTGACAGATTTGGAGACGGCTTTGGAAATGTCAACTGTTCACACTGTAACAGTTATTCCTTTGCATTAGTTGCAGTGCACTCTGCTCTTTTTTGGCGTGCCAAAACAATAGGCTAGTTTTTAATGAAGTTAGATTTTACCATGTACTGTACGAATAATTTTATACTAGAAGAAAGAAGTGTGTCAGCCTTCTATTTCGAAATGTTCAGTCAGAAATTAAAACAATGACTTCCTCTTTGTCTTAGCTAGATCCGGATTTGTAATTCTCAATATCCCCCAAAAAATCGATGACAGGAATGTCACGACATAAAAAAGATGTAACAAATTCTTTTGGTATTGCAAGGCTTCTGAAAACTGCTGGTCACAAGGTCACAAAAATGCCTGCTTTTCCTAAAGGAACTCAGAACATTATATGTTCTGTGCCCAAAACACAAAAAGTATGATCTGTGCGGGAGAACTTCGGACAAAAGATTACCAGAAGTTGCCTGATATCGAATGCCGATCGCCGTTCAGGTTATGGAGTTGCCGAGCGGTCTGATGGTTTAAAGTATGCCGGTGAATGGTTCAACAACAAAAAGGATGGGTATGGTGTTACCTATTTTCAAGATGGAACAAAAGAAGAGGGAAAATACAAGGAAAATCTTTTAGTTCAAGCACTAAATCGGCGAAGTAAATTGTTTCTACTGCGGCATACCAAATTACGTGACGCAATCGAAGAGGCGGTGAAAAACGCCCAAGATGCGTCCAAAAAAGCTCAGGAAACGGCCTCTGAAGCAGCGTACCAAAGGTTTGTTGTAAAGTAATGCATGTAATTGTTCATGTGTATGAGCGGTAAACTATTATACCTCTGAATGTCGTCGCCACCACTGGTATTTTATGTGAGCATATGAAGAATTCATCAACACGAATATAACACTTTGCTTTCGCAAATCCAACTACAGCACTGCCGACGCAGTTCATGTGCGTTTCTAATCATCAGAACGTCCTAATCAGTCAGGGCGTTTTTCTTCAGGAAAACTAATATTTTGTGAAGGGAGAAGTGTGACTTCTCCCGCGCGAAAATCCGATGAAATAGTGTCGTTCGACATGTGAAATTATAGAGAGGGTGATCTGAAGTTAAGACAGTAAACCATTCTGTGGCTCAATTTTAATAGTATCAGCTACAAGATTATAAAAATAGGTTCGTATTGTATTCACAACGAGGAAACCCACTGTAAACGTAAAACCCATGTGCCACGTTGTTTTGCAGTTGAGGGGCTCGGGTCACGACATTGGCTCCGCTCCAAGGGTACTGAATAACTTGAGGGGGAGGAACAACAGCCGAGAACATTCGTTACTCAAAGTTTAAAAATCAAAGTTCATGTTAAAGACAAGTCTCTTGAGACATTAAATGTCTTTCCAACGCTCCAACAGAGGTTGACGATTGACCCAAAAAATAAGGTAGCAATCTTCCTACAGTAAATTATGAAGGAAAGCGATGAAACAGCTAGCCAGTGAGGACGGATTAAAACGAGAACCAATCTAGGGGCATCATTGCGTGTGAACAGATCAGGCAAAATACCTGGTGAGTTTTGTCTGGATTCTATTTTTCGTTCATTCACTATCTGCTTTCAAGATGTCTTCAGCCAAATTAAATATAAATCAGGGGTTATTCATAGGATGTCAATTATCACAAGTATGTAAGCGTTTGCTAGTTACTCCTGAATATGAGGCCACTGATGGTTTCAAATCAGTATAGTGAGCACACTTCATAGGCGAATACTCATGGATTTATCGAATTTATTTAATGGAGTATACACGCCATACAGCTGTGAAGTCCAAAAAACACTGCTCACAAAAATACAGCTAGCTTGTCTGGAAGCGTCCGGACACGAAAGGTACAGGTGCACAGAACATGTCCCTAGGATCACCATCGCCAACACACTTTCCACATGGCAGGTGCATGGGAGGAAATTACTAAACACGGCTTAGCAGTATGCAACCAGGCGGGTGGGTGTAAACATGTTCACGGCAGGAAAGCCGCTATTGGTTGGGCAGAACGAACAAGCGAATAACCATACTTGGTCATTTAGCCATCCTATATATTTACGCAGAAGCTCCGTATGTTTGTCCTAACAATGCAGCCGCGCTTATCGCGTAGCTTGGCAGGCTCAATTCAGGCGGAACCAATATGTGGCCACCCACGTACAACACACCCCAATAGGAATCAGTTCTGACCGAGATGTAAGAAACCGCATTCGAAATCGAGGTATTATGTGCTTGAGTTTCGCAACTTACCTTGATTCCTCGACTCCGTGATAATCGGAATATTTTGTCTCACGTGAATATGCCTAGCCTTTATCACCAGACCTCGAATAGTTTCTCCTGAATGCTCCAGAAATATAGATTGATAAGGAGAAGGCTTGATATCTAGTTAAATGTTTTTTAAACGTAACTTATGTTTCTAGCCCGAACCAGTTCACTCTTGGAAGTACAGGTGAAGCTAATGAGTACCTGCACAGATAAACCAGACTTCCGTTTATTCCCACCATTTATCTTCACGTAGTTTGCCGCAGTTTCCCTGACGGTATAATTGTCCGACAGTTTCATTGATTTGTTCAGAGAACGGCTATTTACGCTGACAGATTTGGAGACGGCTTTGGAAATGTCAACTGTTCACACTGTAACAGTTATTCCTTTGCATTAGTTGCAGTGCACTCTGCTCTTTTTTGGCGTGCCAAAACAATAGGCTAGTTTTTAATGAAGTTAGATTTTACCATGTACTGTACGAATAATTTTATACTAGAAGAAAGAAGTGTGTCAGCCTTCTATTTCGAAATGTTCAGTCAGAAATTAAAACAATGACTTCCTCTTTGTCTTAGCTAGATCTGGATTTGTAATTCTCAATATCCCCCAAAAAATCGATGACAGGAATGTCACGACATAAAAAAGATGTAACAAATTCTTTTGGTATTGCAAGGCTTCTGAAAACTGCTGGTCACAAGGTCACAAGAATGCCTGCTTTTCCTAAAGGAACTCAGAACATTATATGTTCTGAAAACACAAACCAAAACACAAAAAGTATGATCTATGGGGGAGAACTTCGGACAAAAGGTTACCAGAAGTTGCCTGATATCGGGAGCATATGTAGGTGAAAATATGCGGGCGAAATTCAGGATGCCTAAAATTAACTGGACCAATCGGAATAGAGTAAAGCAAGGGCAACCTGTGCCGATGCAGACAGTAGGTTTATTGTGGGCTGCAGATAAGTCAAGAAACGGAAACGGAATCGGATTTCCAACGCTGCCTTTGTTACCGGTCTAATGGAAATATACAAGAAAATGGGCTACTCAACACACCATCGTTTGTGGATCCATTGTTCACCTGTTGTAAGAAATACGTGATGAAACTGGACATACAGACAAATTTCACATCTGATTTGACATTCTATGGCGAGATTTTGTGTTCTGAGGCACTGTAGTAAACATCTAACTAGAGCAACACTTCGGCTCTCAAACCCAACTAAAAAGGTCCCTCGCGGGCACCTTTCCCGAATGCTAACCCAGTGTGATGCGAAAACTATTCCATATGCGCCACAACTTTACTTCGCACTGTAGTAAACATCTAACTAGAGCAACACTTCGGCTCTCAAACCCAACTAAAAAGGTCCCTCGCGGGCACCTTTCCCGAATGCTAACCCAGTGTGATGCGAAAACTATTCCATATGCGCCACATGGGCACTTTACTTCCAATTCTAATATCAACCCATTATTCACAAGACTTGTCTTCAACCAGGCGTGTTTCATTCAATATATTCAAACAAAACCAGCACGGGTATACCACTTCGCTTTGGGGAACTGAGGTGACATTCCTCCCAGTTTTCTAGAATTGAAACCCAGAGTTATAGATGAGGACATGCAAGTTGTACATAGAATATGTTTCTTTTGACATGACTGAGTTTATCCAACATAAATACATTAGTTTTCCGTCAGTTTTCTCGTAAATAAACCAGGCTTCACCCGATTAGAAAATAATATTAATAATAATAATAAATATGGGAGTTTGATTCTTCTATAAAGGCGATCAGTATTTTAGACACAAATTACTACGGATCTCGTCTACACAGTAGGTGCCTGATAATTTAGCTCAGACTGAAGGATTACTGCCTATTTATGTGTCCACTTGTATGCGTCATCATTTGTTTCCACTCACTCTGGCGTTAACAGTCAACTGAGTACCCACCATAAATATACTATCTTACTCAGAAGGCTTGCGCAAACCGATGGGCTGTCAGGTGAGCCTTTTATCAGGAATATCTATTTGTGCCGCTAACAAGGTGACATCCGTAACATTACTCGGCTCATGCATATTTCAACATTTGAACGACCGTTGTTCGAGGAGCCAGTCAGCACGTGTGACCGCGAGATGTGGGTCCCGTGATTAAAGAATGAGCGGCGCTATATTCTGTCTAAGTGCGAGTTAATCACACTGCTGATAAGTCGCCCGCGGCCGAGCGGTTATTCGTTCAAACTGCCAGCCAGGAGGTCGTGGGTTCGAGACTCTGTGGAGAGATGCGCACTGCTGACGATTCCCAAAAAGGACAAAACAGCTGTACAGTGCTTTTCGGCTTTTCAGCATAGATTAGCTTCACTTTCAGCACGAAATCTTCACAAAAACCCCAAATCTCCTCACACTACCAACGATCATTAATTATTCTTGATAAAAATTAAGACAAGTATGTGACCACCCGTAACCTAGAAGTATTTTAATTGAGGATATATCCAGCATTCTTTGACTGTGGAGTGAATTAATTTTGACTCTGGAATATAGTTTTTTTCAGAATGCAGCTCTGCAATCTCGATGTTTGCTGAAAATTTGTTCATGTAGTACAGGATAGTAAGCGCTAGGTTTCGGCTTATGGCAAAGTAATTTGTCATCTATTTCATTCCATGGGTGACGTGCACAATTCTGTTCATGTTCAAATAATTTAAGAAGCTCATTGGTGAGTGAATAATAGGTTTGGCAGATTTTGTTGCCATCAACCGTCGGCACACCATTTGTTTCAGACTGCAAAATGTAGCCCACATTTTTTCCAGGCGCAGCTACAAACTTTGTTAGGAAATAAGTAAGCCTGCAACGCCTACCGCAACAGTGAACACCTGCACAAATGTGCACAACGGATGAGAATTCACAGTTTAACCGCTTGAGTCAATCACGAGAAGCGTACCACAATTACCATTCCATTTTCAGTTCAGCACAACACGTTTTGAACAGTAAATCAATCTGCTTACTTACTTTTGTGCACTGTGTCTTGTGCTTTCCATATCACTGATCTCAATTCAGGCGTCAAAATCCTAATTTTACTATCGTACCTGTAAACTGAAAGCAAAGAACATTATTCTAACGGGTAAAATATATGGGTTCTACTTTAATCATCGACCCGCCTTATCCAATTTTTGGGACCAGAAGGAACCCAAAAATTCCGGAAGAATGTGCTACCGGATCCCTGAACCCGCAAGCATGAAAATGTTGAGAGGACGAGTACTAAACAGAGCGGAGACTGTCTGTTGAAACTTGAGTGGTTTTCAACGTGAGTCCTACATTTGTTGTGTAATCCTGAAGAGAACACGCCCAGTTTGTGCCATAAGAAAACAGCTCTTCTCTATTTTGATACCAGGAAGGTGGGAACGTAGCAGATGTAGATGTGACTAGACCAAGTTGATGCACTTTTCCTGAGGCACGTGGTAGCTGCGACGGAGCATGCAGAACACAAAATGTTAACAGTAACTTCATTCAGTTCAATACACGATATCGAGGCAAGATATCAAGCAAGATATCAGCATTATGTGAAAGGACTAATTTTTTTTACAAATTCAGAGTATCAACATGTAATGCAACAATTTCTTAGTTAGCTAATATCAGTAGCTTTTCAGAGAAAAAGAATGCCTGATACAAGTGCGAATATCTAAGTTAGAGCAATACGGATCGAACAAACGGTCCCATTCTGCTGTACTTTTGCCAAACAATGGTGTACATTTAGGAGAGAATGTATTTGAAGCGACGAGGGACAACCTCAGTTTGAATTAAATTCACTGATCAGTTGAGTATTAGCCCATGTATGACGCACCTTCTGTCAAGACGTTCTGACTGACGAATATCTATGCCAATGGCCTTCGGATTGACCAGAATATTCGTTCTGATGGGTACATGGCAGTTGGCTGAAGGAGATAGGCGTTAGGTATCTAGGCAGTTTAAAGGCCGCTGCACCCTCCATGTGATCTTCTATGTCCAATAAATGGGGAAAAACATAACTGGTTATCGTACACCGGCATGCTTCCTGGTGCCAAGTGGAAGGCGCTGAGTCAGTAGTGTGGAGAACTGTCTCATTGTTCGACCAATTTATCTTGCTCCATTAGAGCAAGCACATTAACTTGGTCTGACGAAGTGGACAATCTTCACATATCCGACAAGGGGACGGCTTATAAGAAATACATGTGAGTAAATGGCAAGTAGCGTTTTTTCGAAGTACCCGATACTTATCACAACGTGGCCAAAAAGAACGAGGTTGCCATATGCTACCTGACTAAGTAAATATATCATGCACCGTTTACTAAACGCTTTAATTCAGTCTGTTCCACCCTAAACCTAGGACTAGGAATCTGTCGGATCGGCAACTAAACCTGGTGACTGGTAGCCCGTCAGGTTTATAAGTTAGTCTCCTTATTAGGTCAGATTACTACTGTTCCTATTTTTGCGCTGGGCTGTCGGCGATTGCAACTGATCCCACTTTTATCCATCCATCATGCTTGATCTACAGTAGACTATCAAGCAAGGACAAGATTTGTCGTACAGTGGATGTAATCAGACTTGATGCAATTTGTCAGCTTTCTTATTATTGACCAATTCGGTTTACGGAAGTGTGGTTGACTGTTGCATCGGATAATCTGCAATGGTGTGCATCCACCCTCCTCAGCTAAACATGTCGTACGTCAAATTGTCAGTTTTGCACAAGATTGGCTGCATCAACATGCAGGATGTCAAAAAAGGTATTGATGACCTACATTTACCCCAACTATTGTTCCATAAATTCGACACTTCGGTAGTTGTCCAAATGAACACATTTCCGTGATATTTTTATGCAGAGCACAGACCGCTCGGATGGTTGCAAACACGGCAGACGCAAGAGCCAGAGATGCACGCAAGCTGTCGGATCAGGCCAGATCCGTTGCCAGGGAATTCTCACCGGAATTTGTACAGCTAGGTGAGTTTCTCACATATGTATGTACGAAACACATGTTGAAATTAATTATCACGTAATACATGTGTAATTATTTTACTTGTTTACAGTTTCGGAGGAGCAGGTGAACACATCAATAATAATTGCAGCAGTGAGATTAAAAAGTCTGTTTTGTCAAAGGTACATTCTGCAAAATAGAAAAAAGATAACGTGTAACTGTCCACCAGCAAACAATGCTTCAAAATGAAATGTTTCTGAACCCAAGCGGTCGCAACTTTTCTGTGTTCTCTATTCTCCCAGTTCGATATTTCTAGGAATCCCCTGCATAAACGAATTAATTATTCGCCAGCTGACACGTACGAATTGTCAGAAACAAAATGCAGTCAAAACTGACTTGTATACTGGCATCATACACCTGAAAAAATTGAGAAAGCGGTTATAACTATTGGGTATGTAGTGTACAGGATTTCGGTTCACATATAAAAACACGGTTCTGCCATCGACTGATTTTCGAAAGTGCTGGCACTCGACACCCCACGATATTCGCACACTGGACAACAAAGTGGTTATGTAGTGTACAGGATTTCGGTTCACATAAACACGGTTCTACCATCGACTGATTTTCGAAAGTGCTGGCATTCGACACCCAACGATATTCGCATACTGGACAACAAGGTGCCCAACTCAGGTCCGTTCATAGTCAAGGGAATGAGTAATTCCGCACAGCATGAGTACGTTTATTTCCTAGCTTTATTTCACACTACGCAGCTCGTGTTTGAAATAGATGCGCTATCCAGGTCGTGTAGCCTTAAATTAAATGAATTTCAATTTCTTCTAAAGCCCACGGATTAAACAAGGAACACCTTATTAAAATAGGCTGGATTGTTTTATTCCGCGCATCAGAGCATCGATTTAGATGTAGCGGATGTTTAAGGTGAATCCGGGTCGGGTGTGGGTTTTCAGACAGACAAAATTCATACGTCGCTGACGTCAGGACAGGACGTCAGACAATCTAGCTTTCTTTTTTTGTTTCACAGCATTTACTTAGGTGTTCAACGACCAAAGCACTGGTCATGGATTTGAACCACAAGCTGTTAATTCCTTATCCGTAGACAAATTGTCCCCACTTTTGCCTCAGTGAACTGCCGGTTTTTTTTGTTTATTGTGAACGCGTCTGCTGATCTGGGTCATTGTACCATAACTTTCGATTGAACATTGCTTTTAATGCCAGGGCACCTCAGCACCTCGGGTGGAGCCCGAATGTTGCGTCTGATCGTTGTAACGGTTCCTGCTTGCATTTGTTGCCTTATTGATTGGAGCCTCCGAACAACTAAATGTGTGTTGCTTTGCAAAACAAAACAGTTCCCGTGAAATAACCCGCTTTTTAATTATCTGCTGTGGAACACCGTTTTGTCTCTATCCTAATCTTAATTTGAATGACCTGAATAAACCGAGGTGGTCCAAACCCAATTTTTCAGGTTGATTCATAGTTTGTTTGTTACTTTCCAAACGTCGGCCAAACTAACATCACTTTGACGTACAGATATCTCAGTTTTTGAGGCATGGCGGAACACACAAGCAAAGTTATGAACAATGATCCCTTGTTGTGACTGGTCTGAGTATTAAACAGCTGCCGCCCTACATGCTAGTTCAGTGATTCAAACTCGGAACAGCAGCAGTGACCATAAATTTTTGCTACCCGGATAGGTCTTATGGGCAGACGGCCCTTGTTCCACCATCACCAATAGACTGGTGAGTTGGTAAGTCCAGAAGTTTATTGTAGCCCTCTAGAGACAATCTCTGCGAGATTGGGTGGCTATTAACTGACCAGCATTTAAAAGCATTCATGATGTAACTGAAGACGGAAGAAAGAGTCAGGAAAGAACTCGAGTCTCGTCTGCCATTTAGCATGTGTCATGTGAACAAGACACACCATTTGATTACGACAACCATGAAACGCAACTCGTTGCAACGCCTTATCGTATTAATTCGGGCAAAGTGAGGAAATTTCCAAAGTTAAATGCAGATAATAAACACGTATGGTCAAAATATTGAAAGCTTCAGTTACTCAAAAATGTGCAGGATCGGGATATTGTTGCAGCTGATTATCTAAGTAAGCGATTTTTGCCACGGTCGAAGCTGTTCAAAGTCTTTGGAATGCGTAACTGAAAGGGTTGGACGTGCTAGTTTTCACCGTTTTGTTGCGCTTATACTGCTACTTAAGACAACAGCCTTCTAATGAATTGGTTGATTTTAATTCAAGACAATATCAACAACAACATCCAATCATCTTAATCTTAAGTTGATTCGATTAGAGCACCATTCTGTGTAAAAAAACCGACGTGGTACTGAAGATGTTCTCACGAACGCATCTGACATTATTTTTTATTGCCAGGTCAACAGTGGGAGAAGCAAAATCCACTGTTGAAGAAGGAACTTTTCGGTGTATCAAAAGACGTGACAGACGCAGCAAACGCTAACCGGCAACCACAACATAATTTACGGGCTGAGGGTTTGCTGAACGGCGAGGGAATGACCGGCAACAGTTTGGAAGTTAGCGGTGGAAGTCGCCAAGGTAGTTTTCGATCAAGTTTCCGGCGACACGGTGCCAACACCCACGAACCTCGGTCCCGGGAAATCGGGCAGCAGAACACAGACGTACGTTTTGTAGTTTACTGCTTGCCTTAGAAAATCTTTTCATTAGGGTGTTGTACGGAAACATGTCTGAAAAATGCATACACATTAGAAGAAAACCCACTAATTTAGCTTGTGAACATGATGTTGAGAGAAATTCTCAGATTTCGCAGTGTGGTATATCTGCCTTATTTACCACCAACCTCCTGTGTTGCGGTCTTAATCACTATTGTTACCTCGGTAACTAAATCGCTAGGATCGAAAGTTTACAAGCAAGGCCTGTTTAGCACACTGGGGAAGGAAAATTATCACATTAGAATTTGGTAGCTGAAATAACGGAAGGTTTTATCAGTAGTTTCAACTAAACGTAATCGTCTCGGTTAGCAGGTGTGTTTTTGAGCACCTACATGTGTTGGAGAATAAGACGGATATGGGCTGTGAAGGATAACAGACCTGAATGTGTTCTAGATGAAACCCTGAGGCCACATACCCTAACCTGTTATCCGCACTCAAATCACCGCAAAGCTCATTATATGCTGGCTGTGATATTACTGCAGATTCATTGTCGTGACCTTTGAAGTAGGAAAATCTTATCATAATAACAGCGCACATGTGTGGCACAGAATAAGGTGCAGCCGGAAATAAACAGGAACAGGCAACCAACTATCTAATACAGTTAGGATCACACGGAAGGGGTACCAAACAGGAAGTTATCGGGTTTTTTAGGGCTTGTCAGGACAGGATTACTGGGATAAAATATGTGACCAGTGTCTCATGACATCAGTAATCGACCGGACTGTGCACCATACTACTAAGTGGACAGCACACGTGGGAGGACACACAACTATAGAGAAGAATTTCGCTAGCTCAGGAAGCATAGATGGTCCTTGGTTTGTTCGCTGAGCTGGGTAATTCGATTCCAAACGTTTCATCACCAATCGAGGTGACATCATCAGTGCATTGTTAGGGTGCGTGGTGAAGCGTACCGATGGGTTGGTGGTTGTGCGCTGAGTAGTGTTGTGGGTGTGTATGTGTTAATAGACATGCTGTTAGCCGGGGTTGACCGTCGATCACGATTGGTTGTTCGGTTGGTCTGTTCCAGTGGTTGTTCTGTTATCCTGTGTCCTGAATGATTGGCGACCGCGTGAATTGTGAACCTGGCCTCCCATGCCCTCGTCGCCCGATCGATGCTGGAGTGACCTCTGTCATTGACCTCTCTGGGTTCCGGGTTGTGACCTTTGTTGATCCTTGGTTTGTGCTCCCTGTTGCTCCTTGGTTTGTGAATCCGATAGTTGTTTCTCCTTGAGTATTTCGGGGGATCAGTTGGTCCTTTGCACGTAGTGGTGCGTAAATTGGTTGTCCTTCGGTCTGGAGATCAGTTTCCTCAACGTCCCATTCAGTTTGTGGGCCACGACGATTGCTTTTCGGGCCGACAATCTGGTTGTGAGTTCAGATAGATGTAAGGTAGAACTACTCATTTGGTTGCTTGTTCTCGTTGTTGCTATTGCTGAGATGTTTTCTTCTTCAAGCTTATCTTGATAGAATTCCTTGGATATCCATTGTTCTGGAACACAGTATTCGCGGTAGTGAAATGAGGTTGTGCAAAATATTATACAGTCTGACAGGGACATATGATGAAACGTATAGGAAAGACGAAACAAGCATTGGAATGGCATCTCTTCTGTCTAATTTCCAGTTTTAAGTTGCCAGTAGGTAAAGTCACTGACCAAATTAAACAAACTGTTAAGGAAACCCAGAGTAGATGTATACTGTGTACTTGAATGTAAAGTAGCCATTAGGAATTCAGTTTATCCGTGTTCATGATGTCAGGATCCTCAGAAGATATAAAAGCGGACACTCACAGATTGTGGGAAATGGTGTACTCATAAGGCTGCTTAAAACTCTTCGAAAGCATTCGTCCGGTTTTGCCCTTTTGAGACTCATCAGGTGGGCGCAGTTTCAGAGTTCTACTTGAACCCAAATTGTAAGATACAGTCAGTTTTAAACTAGTTTGCCTTTAGACAGAGATTCAACTGAATTTCAGCTGAATCTTCGGTTTGAGATACTCTTCAAGTGAATGTGCCTTAGAAGGGCAGCCTCATATCCAATCGGTTCGATATTCTTGGTATGGCAGCACATTTTCTTTAATTGAACTACTCCTATTCATATCGGTGGGCAAACGAATGAAGTACAGTTTGGGCACACTTTAAGGCATGATGAAAATATCACGAACGTATTTGTTTGTCTACAGTGTGGTGTGTTTCACCCATCATCTTTCCAGAGGCAGCGGTATCCGAATGATTTTCCTCCTGATATGAACAATGCGGATAATGGACTTTGGCCTTACAAGCAAAGCTTGCAATCAGGACCCGGTTCCATGGGGCAAATGGGCCCAAACTCTCAGGATCCCTATTCCAACTTCGGAAACATGACAGGACGAACACCCGGCGGTCGACCTATTGCACGAGCTGCAACAACTGGAGTTACAGGGATCGGTTATTCTTCCGCAGAACAGCGACAAATGGTACAACATATGGCCCAACACCCGCATTCTCCGTATTTGATGTCGTCGGTCAGTCAGCAACTTGATGAACTTACAGATGCCCAGACTGCGTACAATTACAACACAATGCCACCTGGTAAACCTCAGCCACGGATAGGCGCAAACACACAAGATGGCGCTACATTTGGTGGGCCGCAGCGAGAAAGAACAGCCATCGCAAATGCACAGCTTTCTGTTGCTCAGGAGCACAAAGCAAAGGAGATTCACATGGCAGAAGCTCAGCTTGTACAACCAAGTGAGGTACACTGCGCATCGGTTGGTGTTGTTGAACTTAACCAATATGCAAAAACTACTGACTCACAAAGTGGTGATAGGTCCGAGAATGCAGAAAGTGGCGAACACTCTTCCCGTGTTTCTGAGGTCATGGAGATTCCATTCATCCAACCCATTGAGCCTGTTCCACACGTACGGCGCCGAACGCTCCCGTCAATCATGACCGAGCCTCCAGTACATCCAGAGAAATCTGGTCGAAACAAGTGGCCCAAGAAGCCAGCCGCTCCAGTGAATAAAATCACAGATAACCGATGCAGAACGCCCGCAAGCAGGTTTGGCGAAGACGCGGTGCACAGTGCTGAAAATCTACCGGCCCATGCTGCAGACACTTATATTATAGAGAATGGCATACGCAAGCGAGTTCAAGCTGTGACACAACAAAACCCCCGCGTACCTCTTGCACACAGACTACCAGAAGACGAGGAAAGGGAGGGCAGGAGACCAGAATGGACGATGTGAGTTTGTATGCAGTTGTATTAATGGCGTGAGAGTACTAGGGATCCTCACGGATGTCAATTTATTGTTCAAAAGCCGATTGTACAGTTGCTTAAGGTGATAAAGCTCACCGGTCACTGTGAGAAGCTCTACAGGGAAACAACAGATTTCTCGCCGTAGAGCAACATTTCATGCTTTTATGCGTATACACTACCAGCAGAGGATATGGAGTTGGGCGTGATAAAAAACACAAGCCTACTGGAGCTGGTCAGCTAAGGGATCGTGTCACTTGGAACGACTATCAGCAAACCACATGTCTTTCTGGGAAAATCAACTTAATTCGAAATAATCTTTTGTATACACAGGTTTCTGATTGGCAGTACACCGAATACGTACCATCTGGGAGATTAGCTTATAGCTTATTAGTTTGGGTTTTTCTTCGTGGCTTTGGACACGTTTTTAGTCCAAGTCCAACACCTGAAAAACTAAGTTATTTCATCTGCTGGTGACCTTGCACTCCGCCTAATCAGGAATTCATTTTTCAGGATTAGAATTGCTGAAAACAAACACCCCAGAGAAGACTAGTGCAGGGTACGATTGTCTTCAGAATGATGTTAGCATTTGTCACATAAGACGGATCGTCTGTGTGACCCACTATAAGTAGCCCCTGCTGCAAACAAATTCATCACTTTTGAGGTCCGACTTGTTTTTCAAGAAACGAGAAAATTGTCGTGCATAGTCGATTCCAGAAGTGTTGGATGATTATCAGTACTTTCAGATGTGGTCCGGAAATGTCCGAATCGGGATCATGTATGGTTTCATTGTGATAAAAGTCAGTGAGGGAATGTGAAAAGCAGAACAACGTGTTTCTAGGAAGCCTTTTGAATCTCACTGTTCCATTTATATGAAATAAAGTATGCAGCATGGTGGTCAATTTTCTACGCGAAAAAGTATTGCTTGAATTCTATTTCTGCAATATGGTAGTCGGTGGGTTAGCTGGAAATCCTTCTAAGTCGTGCTAATTTCGGGATCGCTGATAGTCTTTTGTCGGTCCGTATTTTCAATAACTTCACAAAACAAGCTCGTCCGGGCCATTAGTTATTGAATGTTACTGGTGGTAAACCAGGATCGATATAGATTTTCAAGTTTCCACTGTTAAACTCAAGATTGAATGCTTTCACCTCTGTTGATTGAGGAACTGGATCCGACTGATCAAAACTATTTTTCACGTCCACATCGAACTTTAACTCTGATCCCTACGATTTATTGGGCAGCTGGTGTTTTCGAAACGGTGAACTGCCTTTCATCCCGCTTGGTGAAATTTCGTTGTCACAATATGGAGTAAAACTCTGGACATGATTTATATGATGCCGCTTTTTCTATTTGGCCGCAAGTCGTAGCTAATGCCAGGAGGCAGGTAACCAATCGTGGTGTTATTTTCAGCGATGGCATTCGCTTGAGAATAGCCTGGATTAAAATGTTGCGAAAGCCTCTTCTAGCAAGCACAGTTCTTTTTTGGATTTATCTGATTAAAGTTAACTCTTGTGGTAAGCGATGAAATTTGTCAACTCGGACAACTAGCGGTTTACTCCTAAATAGTGGCCCTGGGGAAGAGTGAACTCTCCAGGTCAAACGGCGGCCTATCTGTATTTTTAATAATATAGTAGGCATGTACTCAAAGGTATTTATTCAAATGTTCCGGTGGATTCGGGAGGGGTGAGATGGAACAAGTGGTTAGAGAGCGAATTTACTGACCGGAAAATCCGTGGTTCAAACCCGACCTCTTCCAATCGACTTCCCCTGTCTAGGCTTGGGCAACCTAGCAGTATCCAAGCCCTCGTGCCTCCTTCGTATGGTATGGCAGCTAGGCACCCAAAGGGTGCTACAGCTGGACGATTTATTATTATTTATTTATGGATTTGGAAGTGAATCACCTTCCCGTTCGAAGTAACAGCACATTATAGCATATAATTTTGTTTAAATATATCAACTGTGTTTCTGATGATCTTTTGTCGTAAAATACAGTTTAGAAAAGATTATCATTTATCATTTATCAAGAGAAGGTTTAGGAAAGTGAAATGCGATCAAAATCGAATGTCTGTGCACTTTGTACTTGTCAGTGATATCAGCTCAACTGTCGCTGCCGCTAAACACAACTTATTTATGAAAAAAAACCGTGTTACTGTGGGATTAATTTGAATGGAGTCACGAGTAGCAAGATATGGAATATTGGCGCCTTTGCCGACAGCCACGCGGTCCTTATCACGTGGAAAAGTTTCGCTCTCTGCCGTTGAGTTAGTCCAGTCGGTAAAAAATATCGTTACGACATTTTGTGAAGACACAGCAAAACAACGCAAAGCAAACGAATGGATCAACAATTTAAATAGCAAGATAAGTATGTAAATATTTTGCCTTGTGTCTTTTCGCCCGTTTTTACTCAGTCAGTAGGTTCAACACAAAGAAGTATGCTAACAACAACAAAACATATTGCAAGATTCTATCTGCGAAGAGCAATTAAATGAGTTTCTGGAACAAATGGATGCAAAGCTATCAAATCACGCCATGTGAAATCGACCATAACAGACTTATTGAGGATGTAGTGAATTCCCATAATTTTGATGTTTGTTGCGAAATTCACATAACGTTTTTTGAGGTGACAAATAGCATACTGGGAAGCATAAATTTTCCACAAGCATCAAGATTGTTGTCATCGTGGGAAATAAGATAGATGGTTCCGGGTCCTCAAGTCGGTCTTATGGTGAGTTTTAATTTTCCGAAGCACGGGGGTGAGTATCATTCCCCATACAGGTTTGTGTTTGGTCGTATAATGTCATGCGCTATTAAAGTTGGATTAATAGAAGTAAGTAGTTACTCATGCTGAGAGCTCACTGGACTTGGAAATGACAACGGCGGTCTAGTGCAGGGTCTACCGGATTATCCTTACAGAAGAGAACTACTAAGAAGAAGGCTTCCAGGCAAATTTGGTTCAGAATATAAAGCGCAGAAAATTTACGCGCCACCAATATTTCAGCACCTATGAACTGCTTATGGTATGCGGAGATTCGAAAGTTTGTTTATTAGAGATTTTTTCTGTAAATGAAGTCAGTCTATGCCGGAGTTCTGAGAAATACTGAGAAACTGGGAACCACAGTACAGCTCACTGGAAATCAACAGCATGGTGCATCTCACGAAACTCTGAGTAGTGTCTAAAGATTACACTTTTGGGCTGCGAGTGACTAATAACAATCAGACAGGATATACAGGATATACTACTACATCAATTGGTCACGTGAGCTTTGGTTCCTCGAGTGGCAACTCCACAGAGTGAGGGTTCTCACGCCTCGCTCTAGTTACGGCTATTTGATATTAAAGAGTAAAATGGAAATTTTGACCAATATCTCATCCTGTCATTGCGAGATAGAAGTAGAAGTTTTATTTGCGTTGCTAGTATGTCACGACTAATATGGTTGCTGTAGGCACATTGGTGAAAACGATGTGGTATCCGTGCCTGCACTCAACTGAGCGGCGACTCTGTACGTTAGAGTATATTCCTTGAGTACTCAACTCCCTGTGCTAACCCTCGGCCTGTAGCAGAAGAATCGATTTTAAAAATCATTTGATTGAAGGACAATTGGCATAGCATCATTTCTGAATGCGAGTTAATCACGCAGCTGAGCAATTCCCTATACCCGATCTGTTTAAGCCTTAACTACTTTTCTGGAGGTTCTGAATTGCAAATTTCCCCGGGGATTTGTGGCATGTACACTACTGATGATATGAAAAACGAACATTAACCGATTCGTGAACGATGTGATGGCTTGAACTCCAGATTAGTCTCTTTGTTTTGCTACGAGCAAGATCCGTGAAATTTCAGGTCTGAAACTTATCTTGTCTATCTTATCCGTAAGAGTTGAATCATACTAGGTCCGATTCCGCGGCGATGGCTTGCAAGAACATGGACGGACTTTCATAAACAAGGGAGTAACGTAAACTGTACTACGCTTTCGGTGATTCTTTATTTGGGAAGAATCAAGTGTATTCATCTCGTAATCACCGATTTTGCGGAAGCGACACCATGGGGGATGTCAGTTTGAAGTATTTTAACTAGGTATTCCGTTCCACAAAAAATGAGATTTAGGTGTCCCTGCCTGTAACTCTGATTACATGCCAAAAAACTTTGAAAGCCGAAAACAGTGGATAAAACCCATTTGCCTGATTGATCAAACGCTTAGTTTAGGCATAGCTTTCAACCGTGCATTTTGGTTAGCCGGCAACAGAACAACACATCCCCTTTTGTTTCCGCTTCTAAGGAAATATTCTTTTCACAAGTTGTGTTACTCTTCGGAAAAGTGGCGTCTTGCGCACCACCGCCAAAAATGAAGAGACCTTGTAGGAAATGTGTGCATCGAGTGAATCCAGTTCGGAAAGGAACGGACTTTCGAGCTTTTACGTTAATAAACCCGTGGGTCATCTCACTGTTATTCACCTGTTATTGAGGCACTTAAGGCAAACTAATTTACAACCAGCTTGAGGACTGGCGGCAAAAACGTGTTGATCAGTTTAAAATGTAACCGAGTGTCAGGAAAACAAATCTTCCTAGAATGGATTCCAGTGCGCTTCAACACTCGACATCGGGCTACACCGAAAAAAATAAAGATCTGATGAGCCTGTTGAGTTGGATATCAATGTGTTGTTGAAGTTAGGCATTCAGTAGCTTTGTCGGAAAAATATTCGCTTACAAATTTTTACGTCTGGCATGTCAGCCTGTACTAGAACCATTCATTCAGTTCGTACAATTTTGGCGTATCACGGAGGGGGGACCAGTTATCTGGAAACACAGCGACCTACGCAGGAGTTGAATGCAAATATACAGGGTGAAAATGGCTTTGAGGATCGAACCTTCGTTGAATAATCCTGTGACACGTGTCATCGCTCCGTCGCTAGACAAAAAAGGTGGTTGACCTACCTAAAAGCCTGCTAACAAATGAGTTCCTGAACCATCCAGCACAAGCCTGGGCTGCATACTACTCAAAAGGCTATATGAACAAAAAGCATTCAAACTCAGCTATGTGCAGAAGTTAGCTTTATTAATATGGACGATAATTTCACGCGAATATTGCATAGAAAATCTCAGTGGGTGTAGAAAAAATGCAGTCTAAAATCGATATGTACTCCCCAAAAGCCCAAAACGAGTTTTTTTTACGAAGAAATCAGACTATTGCTGGGTGTGCTTCAAGGTTATGCGCCATTCTAGCACCAGAAGGAATTTTACCAGCATTAGTCCTTTCCCATGCTGTTGTGGAATTTGAGGTCCAGGCATTTGTCTTGTAAGTTACGTGAAAATGAACAAGCTGTGTTGTTTTCCCTTACCTCCTTTCAGAAGTGTGGCTGTTCCTCCTTTTCTGTCAAATATAAACCAACATCGGTGCTCAGATAAACCAATCCCACGAAATGTAGGTATGATTGTACTAGGTGCCAGTGTCAGTGTTCCGCGGCACACTAATATAAGAGTGCAGATTGCTCACATAGCCAGCCAAAAGACTAACCCACATTGAATCGACATAAGTTATAGCACTGATCAGCATTTCGTCTTTAGACCGATGTGACATTACAGGCTTGCCCTACACCGTTTGATCGGACTTTTAAGTTCAAACAGTGTAAGGTTTAGATTGCAACCGGTGTATCACCCATCGAAGTACTGTGCTCACCAGTGTGAGGATTCAAATCTGCCGGATACATCCATTTGTACGTTAAAGACCCACGAAATATGTTACCAAAGCTGGAAGGTTTTAGAAATATCGCTGTTCACATGCAGATACGAATGCCTCAGCGATGATGTTTATGCAAAGTGGATTGTGTCGGTGAAGCTAAAGCAAACCAAAGAGTAAAATGTGAAATTAACAGGAATTTCCGGTCAGCACCCGAGCTGTGTCACATGTGACTGTGGTTAGCACGCAGCAGTTTGCATCCACTGGGATATTTACACGGTCACCGATCACGGTGAGTAAAGTTCCAGAATTACTTTCTGGGAAACCTATCACCATCAAGTCCTTTCGATCGTGGTTAGTTGGGAAACCACTGTTTTCCATCCATTTCATCAATGGTCCACAGTAGGCTTAAGTAGCCAGTTCGTGTCAGCACAAAGTGGATCCATTCTTCAGCCAAGGCCACCCATATTTTGTTGCGTACTGATTACGTTTGCGTTCTTCTCCAAGACAAGCCTACCCCCTTGTTGTGGTAGTGGTCCAAAATTTTGTAGGATATTCTGAGTCGTCTGTCGGTAGCTGAGAGAGTTCTGGATTTCGGCCCTTCCATTTAGGAAGGGCTCATGGGCGCTGTCTTAGAGATACAGTTGACAAGTTTTATCTAATATACCGGTCAGTAGGTTGGTCCCTTTAAATAAATTTGTGGCGATTCCCAGTAGCGTTTCTAGAATGAAGTTCGTAGCAGACATCTTTACTGTTGAACCTAAGACTCTGTTTCAGTACAGATTAATGATACATCCTAATGTATTTTAGTAAATTGGATACACTTTTTATTGACACAGAGCTTACGACCCGTACCGACCGGCGATGGAGAGCACAGTGGTTGTCTCACATCTAGGACCTCCTCCGCAGTACTCAGAGCAAAATAGTGGTTCTGTGGAACCGCCACTGCTTCCAAGAACCTACAGGATTGAGTCCGAGATAAGTCTTCTTGGAGCGACCAAGGAGGCCAGCATGCCGGATCTTCCATCAGCCTGTCATTCTGCAGTTTCCGGACACGGACGAGGAAACACTCGACAGGTCGGTCTAACTCGAGAAGAGTTGAATAGACTCACACACGCAAGAAGGCTGGAGTTGATGGAGGAGATGGAGCGGAGGAAACGGGGAGAGATAGTCATTCGGCTAGCTGATATAAAGGTGAGAAAGAACTGTCATTCCAATAGATTTTTTGTTTGTTGTCATGCAGCATGTGGTGCGTCAATAGGTATAGGTGTAAAGGCGTTCTGGGTTTAAGACCATTCAGAGAGCTTCCACAATGTTGGATTCTTTTCAATATTAACGTGATAAATAAATATGACATCATATATTCACCTAAAAATATCGCCATACTCTGGCGCTATATAGCCTGTCCTACCTGCAACAAAATCTCTCTTATGCCAGTCTGGTGGTTGACGTTCCTTGTTGCTTAAAAAATATATGGAAAACCAAAATCCACTGAAACGGTTAGGCCTTAAACGAGTTCGCTTTCACCAACCCTGCATACATTTTTTTCTTTTCCCTACAGGATTGGATTCGATCAAATTTCGTCATAGTTTTCGTCCTACTTATCAATGCTAGCCTGGCTTTCCTATTTTTCAATCTGTTGACCGGCTCAACAGACACACGTTCAGTTCCGTCAGCTGCCCAGAATCGACTGACCCGGGCTCAGTCATCCCCACCGACCCCAAACACTGCTGGTACAGTTCAGCTAGCTAAGAAAGTCATCAGCAATGCAATCAAAAAAGCCAAGTTGAATGGGAACCGAGACGAACCCAGTGGCTCTGGTTAGCCGGCTCAGAACAACTGCACTCAGAATGACTTGTCACTTCCGAGAAATTGATGGCCACTATTTTTGACCGTCAATCACTTATGTGCTCTGTGTTTCCTCATGGACACGCTGTAAAATTAGTTCTTGAATCTGCTGACTTTCATGTAAATTTGCAGATACACAGCAAGAACGTTTTTCGTCACAGCGGACACAAAGATACGCGCACTCACACGTACGCACGCAAAAAACACACGTAAAGGAAAACAAACCGCGTAAGAAAATGCAACCATAAACAACCTTTGGAATGTAGGATAANCGCAACACGGTCCATACCACACTCTTTCTGTTAAACACAGTAGAATTACCAAAATATGGAGAATTTCCTCGCTCGTTCGCGCTCGAGCACTTTGATCTCCCTTTCACCCATCCGCGCAAGAGCTACACCTTGTCTGGTCTACGGCTTTTCCTTTTTGAGTTTCCCATCCTCTTCACTACGCTAAGAAGGTTGGGAGCAACCTTCTATCGTACTTCCACCATACACACGCGTGGTGGTCAACTAATTCCGATTCCTTACTTCCTGTTGCTCAAAGGAGACCCAACCAGATGGTCTATTATGCATTATGCCTATTAGCGTTCCTCCATCACTTTCCAACGGCTGTGGATTTGTTTTCGCCTGTCATTTGCACTCTTGTCACCTTTGCCCCTTCCTCACAGTCGGAAGGAAGACCTATTAAACTGAACCACTGTGCTATACAGATCTGTTCGGTGGTCGAGTTTTGTCTGCACCGACTCCCCTACAGGCACTTACTTCGTCCAATTTGGGTGACAATGTAACCCATGCACTATTGTTGAATCACTGCGGCAACTTAGGGATCAGGCCATTTTTTGCTCTCTTCAGAAATTTTGCAAGCAATTCCGGACCAGGACACGTCTGCTTCGAAGAAACTACATGTGGGCAAACGATATTTCCCGGGTCTGCCTGGTAGAGTATCCGGAACGGTCGCTCTTGTCTTCCCTTCTCTGGCAGTGATGGGTTGATATTCTTTTGTTAGTTATGCTTGCTGTGCATCTATCCCCTAGCCCCGACCAGGAAACTGTAAGTAAAGACTACCGTGCTTTTTTGAGGAGTTCAGATTTTTCATTCGCCACACTAAACGAGCTGAGGTCAGGTCAAATGCGTTTAATCCGGTCCACATCGGTTGATTTTATGTACAAATGTACTTACAACTATGCTGTTCATGCTCTACACAGTGTTCGCAGATAGCAAATACTCAGGCTCCAAGGGATAGTATTGTAGTCAATAAATGAGCTACACATAACCCTACACACTCATCTGCATACCATTTAGGTTTTGACGGGATGCTCAGCTGGAACCAAGTTAGATCTAAATGACAACTGTCCAACGCAAACGGAGAGTGTCCTTTTAGGACCACAAAACTCACGCAACGGAGTGAACAATCAAAATAAGTCATATATTCAAGCACAATAGGCACGATCGAGCGGGACATTTAGGCAAACAGTAGGTGACAGCAGAAAGAATTCATCAACGCATCTGATAACCCTTTTCTTCCTCTTCTGCTAAACCTAACGTTGCCATAAGCCAGAAGTTATTGTGTAACCCCTGTGGAGATGTAACCGTTATTTCGTGACTTCGGTTACTGAGTTAATTATGTCGTGATCAGGGATACAATATGAAATCCGTTTGCGAAAGAACGTAGGCGACGAATATCGAAGCAACCTTTATGACCTGGGTAGTATGTAACACGGTCTACGGACTCACAAATAATGTGGTTGTGTGAAGAGATCTGTCAACACAAGCTGCCCTATGATACGTAAGGAACAAACTGAAATGAAGTATCACCTAGACAACTTAAAGAAAGTGTGGATAACAGATAACCATTGAAAAGTTTTTTATCCACACTAAGATGATTATTCGGTGAAGTTAGATTAAAATACGTTTCTCATTACCAAGGCCTCTGAAATCTGGGTAGAATGTACTAGTTGAATTGCTACTCTGAAATGACGCAACTTGAAACAGGTTGGAAATTTCATACAGACTGAATCAGGTTACGTAGCCTTGGGAATTAGATGCTAAACTCTGTTAGAACATTCCACAGTGAATGAATTCGCTAATTAGCTATCGTCTTTGGTTGAGGTTAGAAGGCTGCGAGCTTATGTTGGCTGTTAATCAGGTGGCTGTTTTGTGACTCACCAACCCAAATTGGCTCTGATGATGACATCTCTTATGGCGACGAAACACCCTCAACTAAGTTGCCAAGCGCGGTAAACGGATCAACAGCGACCAGATCAGCAAGCAAAAAAACCACCCGAGCTACCAATAAGAGTAAGAACAATTTCGCTGCAGGGTTGTCCAATGGAAAACAACACAAACTGAACAGTTACAGACTGCTGGACAGGAAAGCAAAACTCTAATGTGCATCTTGTTTATAAAAATCATGTACCCGTATTCTTCTCGAAAGCGTCTTCCTGAACTTTCCGGGATATTCATTGACTGTCACTCAAACGTAAAGCGAATGATACAAAGCGAATCCACAAATCTTGTGATAAATATCACTTTTCGACAGACGCAAAGCAGTTACTAGAAAACCACATGCTACTCTCACACTTCATCAGTAGTATCCGCCGTTCTGCCAATATTTCGACACGACAGGAGGATTTCGCAGAATTTTGATTGGATCTTTGCTGTGATAGTATTCAAATGGAGGAAAACGGGGAATCCAATAATACATGCGCATCTGCATCAGCTGAAATAGCACTCACCGGAAGTGTAGTAGATGAGAACAGCCATTTTTTGAGGCGTTGACGTCGTTTGGTGTTGCTGTGGCACCAAGTGACTTTGGCGGATAAGCCTTTCACTAGAGTAGCTGATGCACAACACACACGGACAGGAGCTGTGATGATTTGGTTGCTACACATTTTGAGGTACCTTTTCGTGATGTAGCACTTAACGCGGTTGATCGAAAAGATCATGTTGCAAGACGTCTGTGGCGTTTGTTTGTGTGACATTCAGAACCATTTCACCAAAATTCTAAGGAATTTCGGATGACTAGTGAACACTTTGCGAAAACAAATGGTTAACTTAGATTCAGATTTATTCCCATTGGTGCTTTGTTGGCCAGAGTGCTATGAAACTTGATCCAAGGGGATTATTTATGGCCCTTGACAACTTTGAACGCTTGAAAGTATCATGAGCGAAAGTGACCAGAACTGCGTATAGTCTTAATTTACTCTTTGGCATTTCAGTCAAATGCTTTCTGGTTTCGATTACACAGTTGGGTTAGCTTGTTGTTCTAAGAAAACCTCACACTCAACACGTGGTTTGCACACTTTTTTGGAATCCAAGAGGTTGTAAACGATGCCGGTAATCCACAAGGGCTGAAACGATTGCGTCAGAGTAACATGTGGTCGCAGCCTTCATTGTGTGAATCACTGAGATCCTGAATTAATCATGGCCCAGTGATGCTCTACATAGGTAATTCAACCCTGGAAGCAGATAGCTTAGGTAACAAAAAACTTAGCAGTATGATATATCTCGAAGATTCTTCGTTGAATATATGCCTTTGTCCTTTATGTGCATTCAATTATCAAACCTGATACAGCCTATCCACCACACTTATATGGCTTGTGAACGAATTTTAGCGGTAGGCTCAGAATCTCCACAAAGAATATTAAAATACGACTCTCCTGATAACATAAGTGATCTCAGTTGGTTTCACATGGAATTCGTGTGACCTTTAAAATTGTGTTACCACTACAAGCAAGACGGAAATTTGCATAGCCCAGATCATTTGAAACAATCTAACATCCAAAGTAACGAACCTGAAGTTATATTCTTCACGGCTTGTATTATTTAATCGTCAGCTAACTGACTTAATGAGATTACAGAAAGCCCAAAAAGATTAATCAAGACCATTAAAGTAGGAGACAAGGTGAGACATTATGATGAATGAGACCACTTAGGGATTCTAAAATGATAAATTGGCCGTTTTCATGGGTACTCTAAATATACGGCCCAACAGTAATCAAGGCTTCAATCCCGAGTAACCACGCTATGATAAGACTTAAGTGTGAACTTCGCTTTTGATGACTTTTGAACGGCAAGTTTCCAAGGTAGCTTATTTTGACATGTTGTTTAGTTTACGGTCTGCCATTAAAAAATCCGTTAGCTATGATAAGCAACGAACGAGCGATTTTTAAAAACGCCGCTATAGAACTCAGCAAACGAGTTGCAAGAGCTCTTTTTAGCGTCACCAGATAGCAATTTACTTACATATAGCCACTGACCACAGCTTCTGTAACTGGAGCCCAGTTTTAGGAACCTGTCACAGATACATGTGAATTCGGTATGTCTCAGGATTTTGGGAAGATGACCTCCCATCAATTTTAATTTATTGATGTAATTTCATTGCCTAAATAGAATATAGTTTGAATAACTGTAGTTGTGATTTAGAATAGTAAAGTACTTACGATCAAGCTGAATATTTGGATTTGTAACCTCAACAAAACACTTCGGAATGGACAAGATCGCACTTCAGAAGCGTGAAAATAAGTATGTTTCGTAAATAAACGTCTTACATTGGCATGGAGAACAAATAATATTTTGATTCTAAGAGAAATATGGCACATCGTTTTGGGCTACTGCCACGAACGTCAGTAGTAAGTTTGATACCAATCGGTCGCTGAGACGTGCAGTTGAAAATTAAAGCCCTGGCCGAAACGTGTTTTATAAAACCTGCCAGAACGAAATGACCACATGTACAGATGCACTTTCAACATACTGTTGGCCCTACGACTTTCTGACAATTTAAAAAAGGAATACGTATTTTTCGTTGTGATTTGAACAGCAGGTTTAAACAAAGCTGTGTGCTGATAACGCACATGCTACTCAGTCAACCCCGATAGTTTTCAACAGTGAGTTACACCTTCATGTCAGGATGCTCCTGGAACGCTAGGGCCTGAGCACAATCACACTTTGAACGTTTGTCTGAAAGAATCTTAAAAAAAACTGAATAGAATCGACTGTCCCAATGTTACAGTCGCATGCAGCCCTTAGAATATGTATCCAAGCCTAAAAAGCTGATACACCAGAAATACTTGTCCACACTGCGGATTAGCAACACCTCTGGGACAGACCAACAGGTGAGTCAACAAGTAGATGCTATTATCCACGATAACGCTACACAGGAATTCGTAGAATTTGCTACCAATTTCGCGAAGCGTCGTTACAAACACAATGCTAGCCAAACAGGCCATGTTACGGCCAAATCATCTTCATAGTAAAATAAATTATTGAGCTGCACAGAAGACAACCACCAGACCGAAATGCAAAGGCCGACCACATTTGTTCAGATGGTAGGGCAACCTAAATAAAAACTCACTAAATTAAAGATTATGTAAACAATCTTCGACGCGGCTACGAAAGCACTTTGTGCCATTTTCAGAGAAACATCGACGGGATAATCTTATTTATCGATCGCTTCCTCAGAATTTTAGCCCATAGCCTATATTCTTATCCATATCATTAATCAAGTCGGTCGTTAAATGAATAGTCATCAGGTTCGAGGATATACGATAAATGGATGGTTTTGGAGGAGTAGGATTGATAGAAAAACCCCAATATATTGACCTCCCGACGACAACGAGTTCATCTGTACACTTCTTAGCTCTGTTCCTTATTTATATGATCCTGAAGTTTCAGATGGGGTCATTTTGTAGGCGAGCTGAGCTGCCTCCTCGTGCGGCCCACTGAGTATTCTGGATATCAGTCTAGGTGGGCTGATTTCAGCAACTCCAGACAGAGCCACTCACCCCGTTTATTTTTAATGTGATGGTTAATTTCGACAATGTACTCTACGAATCATCATGGCGCTTCCGTACCGGTTCCAACCAGTATTCAAGAGAGTCTTTTGGATCTCACGTTTGCGGAATGTAGCAATTGTTTCAAATCTAAAGCTGCCTTGGTAGCTCTCATCGCGTTCACGACAGAGTGTTGGTACAAACGTGGTTGCCCAAGTGGTCTGCGCTGATTGTTTCCGCTTTTTCTGACGAAAATTGACCTGAATCAACACCGTCGGAACGTATATACCAGTCAGCATAACGCTAATAAGCTCGTTCGAGTGGAGTACTCTGGTGCCTGCTGGTCCCAACAAGGGTCACAATCGCTCTTGCGCCTGGCTAACAA